GCGCCTTAGCCGCTTGGGCCATAGGCGCCGAGCCATTTAGTTATTTTTTTGAGACAGAGTCTCAACCTGTCACACTGGGTAGAGTAACGTGGAGTCATAGCTCATAGCAACCTCCAACTCTTGAGCTCAAGTGATCTTCCTGCCTCCGTTTTTCTATTTTTTAGTAGAGATAAGGTCTTGCTTTTGCTTAGGCTGGTCTTGAACTCATGAGCTTAAGCTATCCACCCACCTCGTCATCCCAGAGTGCTAGGATTACAGGCATGAGCCTCACCTGGCCTATTTACTTACTTTTGTAGACAGAGTCTTACTCTGTCACCCAGGCTAGAGTGCTAGCTCACAGCAACTTCAAACTCCTGGGCTCAGGTGATCCTCCCCTGTCTCAGCCTCTCAAGTAGCTGAACTACAGGGATTTGCCACAATGTCCAGCTAATTTTCTCTATTTTTGGTTGAGATAGGGTCTAACTCTTGCTTAGGCTGGTCTTGAACTCCTGAGCTCGAGGGATCCTCCCACCTTGGCCTCCCAGAGTGCTAGAATTACAGGCATGAGCTGCTGCCTCTGGCCATCATTTATTTTCTTGATTATAGCCATCCTAGTGGGGTATAAAGTGGTTATTTCTCTTGGTTGCTAATGACTAGTGAAGTTGGGCTTATTGGCCATTGTGTATCTTCTTTGGAGAAATGTCCATTCAAGGTAGGCTCCAAATATTTGTATACTGATTTAAAAATAAATTTAGGAATGTGATTTATAAGGACACTGATCAATAATCTTACAAAGACCAAGCAGGCTTAAATCTCTTCCTATGTAAGAAAAGGATGAGGCAGGACTCAATGGTCATCTCCTAATTGGAGCAAAGGGAAGAGGATGAACTTATGGGGGGTAAGAACGAGGAAAAGATGTCCTTCACTCCATTCCACGCAGAGCTCTCCAACAGCATTACCTTTGTGCACTCTCTTTCTATGGAGAGCAGGACAGAGCAGGGCCAGAGTATGTCTGCCACACAAATCCTCACTTCCTGCCTGACCTAGAAAGCTGACCTAAAGGTATCTCTTCCTGGTCCTTGTATAGTTAGAATTCTAATTGCTGCTGAGATTCAGAGGCAAGACTTTCTGTACATACAGGCAATACCAGCATCATGGAAGAAAAGGAGGTCCCAAATGTGTTCAAATATGGAAGCCACATGACTGGCTGCATGACTGTATTATGGACATAGGTGTAGGGTTCTGCAAGGCTATGTATGTTCTGATTGGCCCATATGGCCACTACAGATGGGTAAGGCCTTCTTTACTGGAGTAGCAGAGGCTGCCTTATTTGCCCAGGTGACATGCCAATATGCTCAATGGCTAGAAGAGACCGAGGCTGAGACCCATGCAGTCTGGTGTTTGTGGTGGTGTGGCAAACAAACCAACCTAGCTATTTAAGAGTGACTTCACCATCCATTTTCAGGCACTCTGGATGGCCTCTCTGGATGGCACCCTAGCCCTAACTTAGGTGACCTTTCCTCTTATTACCCTCTAAAGTCTCCATTATAAAAGCTCAAGGTAGGGACCTCTGGGGAGGGGGAAGAGGAAGAGGAGAAAACCTAGCCATACGCAAAGAAATAACTATGGTCAGGTCATGCTTTCTTTACAGACATGGAGCATAAGGCCAAACCAGTAGGGTTGCAAGCCTGTTCTTGGTGTCATCAGAATTATGTCATACTGTAATTTCAGACTGCCACATGCCATTAGATACCTGGCCATCTTTTATGAGATCGACTAGTGCCTCCTTGATCAAATTCCCCTGGGTATCCCAAAGGTTGCCATATATACACACATACATACATAGGAAAATTGGGAAATTGTAGCTAAATGTACCTTAATTTACAAAATATTCATTACAAAATATTTCTCTATGTGTTGATATATAATATAAAAAACATAAAATATAATATGAGCTTGTTAACTTTTTCTCCTATGGTGATCTTCGGGACACCCTGTGGAAAAATGACAGTACTGAAAGGAACTGAAGGGTTACTTGATAAGAAAAGTATAAAGATGCTGGCCTGCAACTCCTGGTGGCCACCTCCCCTCACATAAATATGAGGACAAAATCCCTGTGCAGGAAGCAGAGTGAGACAGGGAATACACTGTGACTTCTTGAATCCAACCTTGTCTAAAGCCAGTCCTTCCTTTGACTTCTCAATAAATTGCCTTTATTTCTCAAGTCACTCTGATTTGGCTTTGTCACTTGCTATTAGAAGAGCCTTAATCAGTATGGTGACATTTATCTCAAAGGTACTGACTCGACAGTCCTGTTTACCCAGTAAAAGTCCAAGAAAAAAGGCTTTGAGATAGTCTCAAATAGATGCTTTGTTCTGGGTACTAAAATTCTGTATGGCAGCAAAAACCAACAAATCAACCATCCAACCAACCAACTAACCACACACAACTATTTATAATAATATACTGTTCAAAATATGTATAAAATTGGTTCTGATTCTGGATAAGCTGAGTAAACATATGCAACTCATTCTTTCCCACTGTGTGCAAAATATTTCCAGACAGAATACAGGATACATGAAGACTCTGAAGAGAAGTAGCAATAGGTAGACTGGAAAAAAACACCAGAGTTCAAAATATCTCCACATTGGTAATGAATCCTGGACCCCCTCTGGTATCTGCTGGCCATAACTCAATGAAGGTGAAAACCTAGAAGTGACCACTGTGGTGCAGAGAAGAATCTGGGTGAAATCCTCTAGCTATGGCTCAAGGAACCAAGATAGGAATATAGTAGAGCCCAGGAGTGGGGGTAAATCCTCCAGTTTTTTGTTTGTTTGTTTGTTTTTGTTTTTGAGATAGTAGCCTCAAGCTGTCCCCCTTGGTAGAGTGCCGTGGCATCTCAGCTCACAGCAACCTCCAACTCCTGGGCTCAAGTGAGTCTCCTGCCTCAGCCTCCCAAGTAGCTGGGACCACAGG